AGTTGCCGCGAGCGCTAGGGGGCAGCACTTATAATTCAGCTGCGCCGCTGCTGAAAACATATAGGGGAAACACTGCAGTTAAGTGAAATTTTAAAGTCAATGCTTCAGTTGTTTCAGTGCAAGTAGAACATACACTTTATGACAAAGGCAATCAGAGTTCATCCTCTTGATATTAGTATATACGTTTTCAATCATTATTATTATTTATTATTATTATTATTATTATTATTATTATTATCAGAATTAGGTTTATTACCAGGTAGGTTTACACATACATGGAATTTGACTTGGTGTCGTGGTGCATAAAAACAAGAATTCAAAACACAGGTTGAAAAATGTAACAGTATTTACATTGCAATGGAATAAGAACAATCTATCTTGGATAGTGACCGCCCTGCAGCCTGTTGATCTCCCCACACACACGCATATATTTTCACACACCACCCTCCCCCCTTTTTTACACCCTCCTAGTCTCCTCTCACTGTCATTCATTCAGTGCCAAAGCCTGCTGCTTTATTAAAGCCCAGGAAGAGCGACTTCTGGCCCGGGTTCAAACAGCAGTGCAGCTGGGACCTGTTACATTTTCGGCAGACTGCCCTCTCTCCGTCTCGCTGGCTATAAATAGCACCCGGTGGTTGTCTCCCTTAACCAAGGAAAAGAGGTTTTTTGTGGGAGGAAGAAAAAAACACACACACAGATTAATAACCGTGGGAAGCAATGAAAGCTTTGTGTCTGCTTTCTGAGGTCAGCGGGCCAGGAGGTGTTGCTACTTCAAAAGACCCTCATTGTGGGGCGTACTTTCAGACGTTGATGGGGAAACACGGGCTGCCAGCGGTGAGATTTTAGTTCATTTGTTTATAGTGTCGTGGACAGTCCCCATTGATCAACTGTCACAAAAAACACTAACATCTTTAGCCAACATTGCTAATTTCCAGCTGTTGTCCCCGGCCAGATGATAATTAGACAGATGGCATGACATTGCGCTAACCAGACAGCCCTGGTTTGATTTTTTTTTCTGATTTCCCGCAGAGGAACACTTCAAAGTGGTGCTGTGGTGTAGTATTTTTTTTAAGCCCACCTGAAGTTAGCATCCAGCTTGAAGCCAATGGGATTTTCATCCACTGGATTTCGAAATGTTGCAGGAAATAAGTTTGAGGCAAACAAACGTTTATGAATAGAATATAATCCTTTATTGTCATCATTATACAGGTACAATGAGATGAGTAGGGTTAGTGACCTAAAAACCGAGGTACGTACCGAACCAAAATGTTTGTTAACCGTTACACCCCTAGTATTGGTGGAGCTTGACTCGAGGCTTAAAATCAGGATATTTAAGATTCTTCAATGTGTTTGGAAGCTGAATTGCAATCACCAGAAGTAAAAAGCTAACGTTACACTATAAAGAAACTACATCACGCTCAAATTACTTCATGTCACCACCGCTAAGCTAAAGTCAGCTAACGTCTGGCGTGACGACATCAACAGTGGGGTATTTCCTGACGTATTTTATGTCGTAGAACATAAAATACGTCAAATGTAAATTTGATTTATGCCAGTATAACATGTGCAGCAAGTGATGAGGGTTTTGTCTGAAACCAGAAACACTTTCACCCAAAGCTTAAACGATTTTAATATTCAGAAGTTCTCTCATAAATCTCCAACATTAGTGTTAAAAATGTTAGGTGGCTACCATGTGTAATGAAAATGTGAAAACGTCTTAAGCTCGCGTTAGCCACAGACCACAGACTATTTCTATCCTATCCTATTTTATTTGTATTTACGTGCACTATTTGATCAGTTTTATTGTGTTGCACTGTTGGAGGAGCCTGTGACCTAAGATTTTCATTCGTACATATCTGCACTGTAGCTATGTACGAATGACAATAAAAGCCTTTAATCTTGAATCTTCTTTCAGTTGTTTAAACAAAACACATTTAAACATTTTTGACTTTGAGAGCGAGGACCCAGAAGTGTCAACATTTTGACAAATGTTGGCGTTTTAGGACTTATTCTGCTACCCTATAGCAGCTTTCTAATTGTGTTTATTTTTGTTTCGCTCGAGGGGTGTTGGGATTCCAACAGCCTCGTCTCTTATGTACACACACACACACTGACACACACTTTATGACCTTGGCTCCAGCTGTTGACAGGAGAAGCTACCTCATTACAACCCTCCGTCTCCCCCTCCTCTACTCTCAGTTTCCCTCCCTTGCTCAGTAGCCAAAAAAAAGGCCACGTGGATCTCCCTGAGTCCAAACAGGGCCAAGGTCATCGCCCCAGCCAACAACAAACCCTGACACCACAGACACATCCACTTCCTTACGCTTATTCTCATAGAAACCCTCCCTGTAACAGAATCCACCCACTGGCACAATGATCTGCCGGGCAGGGAAACGCTCCTGGCGGATATAGTGGGCTCATTCATTCATTCATGGCCAATTTCTTCCCTTTCTAGTAAGGAAAGTAAATCCACTACTATTTTTTTTTTTTATACCTCCCCCATCTGCTTTTTGTTCTGTGCTTTGATTATGATGTGACGGGTTTATGAGATGATGCTTGCACGACACAATGGTACTCGTTTGTGTTCATTGCTGAGTAATGCTTTTTAAAGAAAAGAAACCCCACTTAAAAGGATCCAAAATAACCCTTCTAACGTTTTGCTGTCACATTGCTGGATTGAGAACAATATCCTATCAGCTGCATCATTATGGAGCTCGTTATAGCTTGTCAGAATGTTTGGCTGCACCGTCCAATAAAAGCAATACAACACAAACATAACCATCAGCCACCAAATCCAATGACAGACCATTACCTCTCAATTCAGAGCTGATTTAAAGGTCCCCTTTTATCCTGTTTTTCATCAATATATTATAGCTCTCAGATATATCCAGAGCCTGTCTCTGATTGGCTGAAACACCAAACAGATCATTGCAGCATTACCCATAATCCCCTCTGTTTCAGCCCTGTTTCCAAAGTGCTGATTCTCTGTCTGTTACTTTAGATGAAAATAAGGAGCCCCTCCCCACGCCCCTCTGAGAGAGATTTGGTTACAAAGAACTCAATGGTGCTCTAGGAGGAGATTCAGGTGATAAGGTGGGGTGGGGGAGGGGGCTAATGGTTACACAAGCCAAAACATCGTTATGACATCATAAAGTGGCCAAAATCTGATCAGCTCATTTTCAGACAGGTTTTTATAGAAATGCATCAGGAGAAAAAGAGAGTCTTTGTTCCTGAAACTTTCAGAATCTCTTTACACAGAGGGGACACATGTTTATGTATAAAAGAAGGAAGTGGATTTTGCATAATAGGTGACCTTTAAGGGCGCTGGAATTTCTTTGATAGGATTCTTTCAAAATCTAGTTTACTCTTGCTTATTACCCCAAAGCTGCCATGTCCAGTTTTAAAGCTCAGTGTGGGTGTGGAAAGGGACCGGACGCTCCCCCTGGGAGAAAGGTTTGACCTTTTGATTGTGGTGTTATAGGTAAGCCCATAATGTTGAAGATTTATTTATTGAGGGCTAGGGTTGTTTGAGTCTCGCTGACTGAGCTGCGGACCAGACCTACACTTAAATGGTGGTCATATAACTGAGGAGATACTCCATCAACTTTAAGATAAGTAAGGCTTTCTGCTTTTCTCGGCATGTGGCCTTGTTCTGGTTGTCCTATTCCTCTATTTTCTTTTGCAAAACCGCCAATATATATTATTGATTAAAAAAACATCGTCATCGTTTACATTGAAAATTGCCCAAACCAAAAAATGTATAATATTAACTAACTATGGAAGAACTATGTTGGGATTAAAAGCCTCACACACAATCTATAAAGATGGCTGAATGCAATATTCTCTTGGCAAACACTGACATCAAGAGACTTGACATGTATTACGTTTCATTTTCATGGAGTATTTCACTAGAATGGTATGTAAAAAGTATATAGCTCTGAGCTATGGTGTGTCAGTTTGATGTACCCGAGCTTCTCTAAAAGAACAGCAGGTGTTTGAGCAGCACAGCACAGATAAAAGCGTTCACCACAGCTCAATGTTTTATGGCTTGACCTGAGCATTCTTTTTCTGACGCTGTTTCCTCTGGTCGCAGATCTACGCCCAACTCAAAACATTTCTTGATTTGATTGATTGTGTCCTTTTTTAAGACATGTGTATGCTTTTCAAAAGTTATTTTTTCATTGCACAGCCCTGGTAAGAATATGGCTGGCATGTATACATGCAACACATTCTCACTCCCAACTCGGCCTATGTTGACGTTATGTCAGGGTCCCTGTCGTCACTTTCCAACGCAAGGGGGGGGGGGCTTTAGCGTTGAGTTTCAACTATCAGGGAGTCCCATTGACTTGCATAGAGCTCCCTGAACGTTGGTAATAGACGAGTTGGGATCGCGGAGAAATGCTCTCCGCAGATCCATTCTCACAGCGTTTATCAAAATGTTTCTAACTCAATATCAAGCCACGCTTATTGTTTTTACTTCTTTATTTTAATTTAATAATGTAGGACTTTTGTTGCCGTCAGTTAGGGGGAGAGAGCTCAGAATACTGACATCTGTATTGTTTCATCGTTCTTTCCTTCTAATTTTGTATTATTTTCTAAACCACACACTGTTATTTATTCAACAATAAGACACAATTATCCTTGTGTTTATTTATTAGTTTGATTAACTTTGAACAAAAGTCTGACATTATTCAATTAAAATAAAGAAGTAAAACAATAAGTGTGGCTTGATATTGAGTAAGAAAAAGGTTGATAAACGCTGGGAGAATGGATCTGCAGAGAGCATTTCTCCGTGATCCCAACTCGTCTATTACCAATGTTCAGGGAGCTCTATGCAAGTCAATGGGACACCCTGATAGTTGAAACTCGACGCTAAAGCCCCCCCCCTTGCGTTGGAAAGTGACGACAGGGACCCTGACATAATGTCAACATAGGCCGAGTTGGGAGTGAGAATGTGTTGATACATAAGATAACCAGTCAATGTGCTTGTTTTTTGCCAGGTTGGCAGCAGACTGGTCCTCCAGACAACCGGACTTCTGATGATCGTCCTGGGGATCTTTGGAAAATTTGGAGCAGTTTTTATCACCATACCAGACCCAGTCATTGGAGGAATGTTCCTCGTTATGTTTGGAATGATCGCAGCAGTGGGGATATCCAACCTCCAGGTAAACAAATTTCAATATTGTAACATACAGTATCAAATGTTTTTTGGTGGACACTTTATCCAAAACATCCCTCAGACGCCAGCCTTCCTTGGGAAATGAAGACTCTGAGACACAATACTCATCCACCCTTCTAAGAGGCCCATGAACTGAATACTGAGTCCAGCTGCTTCTAGGTGTGCCACTCTGGCCCGTTGAAAAAGATTTCTATATGGATCAACAAAAAAAAAAAAAATGTGGTAGCTTAAAGTGATTTAGAACATACATAAAGGAACATTACAAGTTTGCAAATGAACAAATCAAATCTCCTTTAAAACAGCAAAATATTATATTAAAGACAGTGAAAAAAAATAAGACTATTCACTATTCAAAATTGAGACCAAAGGTCGGGTCATACACTTTTTGTTGGTCGTGTAGTTAGGAAACTGTCCAATCAACAGTGAGCTCAGGTCAGCTGTGATCCTGTTTTCTAGCCTTAAATAGCACTGTTTTTAAATCAGGAGTGCTGGTGCACTGTTGCCCGTTAAAACAACCAAAATATATATTTTACATTGTTAACATCAGAAGAAGAAGGGATTTACTTTGGGTATTACTTCATGAAATGGATAGATAAATGAATGTGGACTCAAATCACTTTACAGTTCAGCAAAAAACAAAAAACCCCACCAAAAATAATAATAATAATAAAATAGGTTTTCTGGTGTTTTTATTTGTGAGACAATTTATAGATTTGTTATCTTCCCGGTCATCTGTATATATATATATGTTTTTTTTTACTCTCTAATACTGGTTTATTTTCCTAATTCTATTTTGAGATATTCATATTTTAGAATTGTTTATTTCTCATCTTTTAATTTGTTATTATGTGCAATGCCTTGTTTTGTTTTATGCTGCTGCAACGAAAACATTTCCAAAATTGGGATTAATAAAGTACATTTTATTTTATCTTTAATCTTAAAAAATGAATTTTTTTACGGCTGGTAGTTAGAGATATCTTAAAAGGATACGTATTAAAGTGTGTCAAAATCTGTCCACTTAGTCGGCAAGTCTTCAATCAAAATCTGTGTGTGCCATATTTTTCGGGGGCGTTACAGGTCTACTGTGATTAGCAACCCCAATGATTTTTGTTTTAAATTAGGGAACTGTTAAAAGAGCAGCTGTGAAATATCTTGGGGTTCCTCAAGGTTCATAAAACAATAGGGAACCTGTGATATAAAAAGAGGAAAAAGCCATTAAGTACCTTAAAAATAAGAGAAAGACTTTAAACCTTTCAAAGCGGTGAAGGGAGCCACTTTAGTTTGTGTAAAACAAGAGTTATATGATCCCAAAATTAATTTATTATCTAAACCCCGGCAGCAGCGTTGTGATTGGTCCGTAGCTTTGCAATGGCTGCTGGGAGGCAACAGTGGTACAGTATTCAAGAAGAACAAAAACAAACTTTTTAGCATCGTGATGGCTCAGTCGAGGTCTTCGCTATATTGCGTAAACGGTCAAATCCGGTTTTGGTCGACAATTTAAAGAGGCATTAAAATTGAGGACATTTTCCTGGCAAAAAACGTTTACAGGATTTCCTACTTTTCTCATACAGATAAATAAAAAAGGGATATATTGACCTTCGACAGAACATTTTATTGACTTTATATATTACTAAATAAATACCACAGCGTCAGCCCTCCCATGCTTTCCAAGCTCACACACTGAGAAGTCATTTGGAGCAGAAGTCTAACAGAAACATTCGATGAAAATCGGACCCACTATGTCAGCCCTTTTTATGAACTTTCTGGCTACAGAATGTAACTGTTGGCCTTTTATGTTGAAATGTCTCAAACTGCTCCTTTTCAGACCACTAGTAAAAACTAGTATTTCAGTGGGGGGTTCTTTATATTCCAGGCAAAGAGGAATCGAGGGAATATGCTATGCCAGGATGCGAAAATCCAAATACAGAAATATTCTGTATGTATTTTGTAAGATTGTAATACTGAACCATACGTCTAGAGAGCCAACGTCCCACCCAGGCAGTGTATTCTTTTACCATTATGTGATCTTTCCCAGCAACAGGATACGATGTTATGCTCCTATGATTATTTAGTTTGCTTTGAATTGAAGCTCCATGGAGTCTTCATGATAGGTATTAAAACCTATGGGAGGTACAGTATTATGTATATACACAAAATAGTGGTTTTCAATAGAGCAGTGCAGTAATCAGGTATTTGTGATGCTCTTTATTCGTAAAATTACGTTGTGAAATATGTGAAATAGCCAGAACTGGTTAATCCGTGTATTAGAACTGAATAAAGGTTGCTTCTTTATATTTTAGATAATAAGGAGCACTTTATTAGACAGGGTTGATCAAGGATGGCCTCAGTTCTCCTATCATGAGACCAAATAAGTCAGTCGTGGACCGAAATAGAATTCATTCCTTTATCGAGGTTTCTAATTATTTCTAATCACATTTTAGGGAAGTTACAAAACAGAGATGGCCGCCAGCAAGCCTAGAAAAACCAAATAAAGACTCTCTCTCTCTGTGCCTCTTCCTCTCCAGTACGTGGACCTCAACTCGTCTCGTAACCTCCTCATCCTCGGCTTCTCCACCTTCAGCGGACTGGTTCTACCAACCTGGTTTCACTCCAACCCCGGCATCATTGACACAGGTGATTTTCAGACATACATTCACTAATACACATACACAAAGGAATAGTACAGTCCCCTCCAAAACTATTGGAACAGCGAGGCCAATTGCTTTATTGTTGCTTTACACTGAAAAAAATTAGGTTAGACATCAAAAGGTCAGTATTTCAGCTTTTAATTCCAGGTATTTACATCTAAATCTTATAAATAACTGAGAAAGATAGCACCTTTTGTTTAAACCCACCCACAGCATCATTGGTATTACTGTCTTGTGAAAACCAAAGTTAGAATCAGCAGAAATTGGCAATCATTGACACAGGTTATTTTCCAGACTTACTTTTACTAGGACACAAACACTGAGGAATAGTATACAGTATGTGTCCTCACTTTCTAAGCTCTTTAAAATGGGAACAGACCTTCAGATTAAATAAAACAATCGGAACATATATTGATTATTTCCGCCAACATTTGGTGGACAGTAACATAGGAGCAAAATGTAATGACTGAGTACAAGGCATTTGGGGGTAGGTAGAATACTATTTATTACTTTACCTGTCAAAATCCCAATCAGGTTAGTTGTGATGCCTAAATAATATTCATAATGGGCCAAACAACCGTAATGTGTGTGTGTACCATGTGTGTACACTTACTTCGATTTCCTTGTTTCTCTTTTTTTGTTAGTGTGCTTTTTTTTTTAGCAAAACATTTGGTGACGATCATTCTTACACAAACACATGCACAAAGGAATAGTATATGTCCTTACTTTCTAAGCGCTTTATACAGTAATAGGAACGGACTTTAAAATTAAATAAATAAATCTGAAGAGAGTATTTTTGCCAACATTTTGGAATCAGCAGAAATTGGCACATCCCAGCCCTGAATCCTCATCAGAGGAGCGATGTGGACCTCATACTTGCCAACCCTCCCGATTTTCGCGGGAAACTCCCGATTTCATTGCCCTCTCCCGGTTTCCTCCCGGGGTCATATTTCCCCCGCATTTCTCCCGAGGTCATATTTCCCCCGCATTTCTCCCGATTTCTGACAAAATCAGATTTACTCACGACTTTAATACAACTACACCATTGTTTGGTTTCCATGGTAACACGTCTCTTTAGCAGCGCGCACAACTGAAACTCTGAGAGGGTGAGGAAAATAGTCACAGAAAACTGAACAAGAATCGACAACTCGAGCCTCTGCTGACTCCTTTCCTGTAAAATACAAGTCCAGCCCACACATATGCTTCATCAAGGACGGTGCTACAGGCCGCAAGGTATTGCACTTACAACTACAATAAGCATGTTAATGTTAATCTACAGCTCCGGCGATCCACTAGGAGCACCCCCCCCGCGGTGGTTTTGAAATGCTCCCGATTTCTGAGGTCTCAAGGTTGGCAAGTATGGTGGACCTCTGACAGAGAGTGGCCACTGCTCCTCCAACAGATTACCCAGGAGGAGGAGGCAGTGGTTCTGCCAGCATAAGCTTCTGACGCTAAGGTGTTTCCAAATCCTAACCCAGATGGCATTCACCTGTGACCTTTAGTCTTCGGCAAGAGAACATTTTACCTAATCCTTAACCCTGCTTTTGTTATATCGTTTCTTTGAACTCAAATGCACACCAGGGATAGACATTGTAGGTGGTTTGAATGCCTGTTATACGGGTGGGTAGAAAGTGAAGACCTAAATAAACGCTTAAAACTGAACCTTTAGGCAAGAAAATTTTATTTATATAGCACTTTTCAGCACGTGGCGTTTCAAAGTGCTTTAGAAAATAAAAACAAAAGACATTCAACCCTTCTTTTTCTCTTGATATTGATGTTATACACCTTCACATTTTCCTTTTGCTCGTTATTGCTTGGTGTTTAACGCTGAAGTGTTCATTCATTAAATAATCAAGGTATTCTCAAACAAAAATGTTTTAATCAGAGATCCTTTGTTCGTCTAGCAGCACGGACATTTACAGTGATTTTTGAGGGTCAGAGCAATTCAAAGAGGATTGCCTTGATTCTTCATGATTAGCCACCTGGGGATCTTCTTCTACTGCACTAGGCGTGAACAGATTGTTGGTGATTACAAAAAAGGGAAACTCATTCTTGAAAAAACTCCTGCAGGGTTGAATTATACTTTAATGGTCAAAAATCTACCTGCCTGAAGTCCATTTTTACCATTTTATCATTATCATCTACACCTTTTTTGGTTGACTGTCAATTTGTCCTATTCTATTGAACGCAATATGTCATGGAGAGCGAGACAGTATTTCTTCAAATTTGTAAAAGTTTGGCACAATGTCTAACGAAAGTTAAATGGCCAAAGGTCGAGGTCCATTCATCCTGTCCTTTATCCAATTCTTGTGAATGCTTTATCTCCTGATTGCCATCGGGTATTTCTAACACCGACTTCCTCTTGGACTTAACAATGAACTATAATAAAAGTAATAAATAATGAAGTGACGGCATTTTGGACAGACATGGATGTTACTACAACTTGACTTGCTGGCAGACACATACAACCAAAAGGAGTTCATTGTAGTTGACATTAAGTAATTAATGAAAGTCAATTTTGCAAATAATTGTTAATTGGAAAAATAATAATGTTCATGAAAAACTATTTGAAAATGCATTTCGTTTTTTACTTTAAATTATTGTAAAACCTTCCAATTATTACTTTATAAATCCATGTTTTAACCTGGTAGTTCTTAAAAAAGGTTGGAGCAATTTATAACATATTCAAACCCAGGTTTAATCCAAATGAAACTCAGGTTTCCAGCCGGATTATGTCAATACAAAAAATATATTTTTGGGCAGAAATGACATTTTCCAATTTACATTACTTTACTGTAAAACATACATACATTCTTACACGTAACAAATATTGACACAACCAAATCCAATTACTCTAATCGAGCCATGAAACATTTTTTCCAACAAATGAAATCAGATGACTTTTAAAAGTACAAGACCGAAGAATCAGATTTTTTACATCCAATCAGAAATCGATCTCAGGCTCTCACCTGATGACGCCCTGCCTTTCATTATGCATTGATGGGTCTCAGAGCGTCTCTTTGGCCACCTCCTATGAAGTGCTATCAAAAGAACAATCCCTAAGATTAAACAGGTACACTCTCTGCAGACATAAGAACATGATCCCATGAGTCAAGTGCCTCCAAAGAAAAGCTAATCCAGAGTAGGACACTGGGCATGAGGGTTGTCTGGTTCTTTTACGTCTAGGCTACTTACATCCAAATCCTCTTGGCTAACTCCCATGTCAGGGCCAGGCTCAGATAAAGTTCTCCCCAGCCTCAACACTCCTCTGATAGCGCCACACAAGAGGAGGCCTGTCTCAGTAAACACTGATTTTCTTCCAGACGCCTTTAGATGTACAGGCTGAGAGATTCAAAACCATCTCAGTGGGTGCCTTGAACTCTCGACTGCTCCTCTTTGGGCAGGAAGTGTGTGTTCTTTGAAAAATACTGTGTTTGTTGAACTACGTGAGCGCTCTTTGCCATCCTTGATTCAATATTTCTATTTTACAAAACGTCATTAGGCAGTTAACACATAAAACACATGTTACCACAAGATGGACGAGCTCCAACAAGCCGTGTAGGACAGAGAGTGAATACACATACTATACAGAGATGCTGTATGAGAAACCAATGTGTGAAAATGTCACAATGTAAATCTATTCTAGTAGACCTCAACAATGGAATTATGATCAGTAGAAATGGCCATGACAAAAAGTAAGGACATTTGTGTTTGGTAGATTATTTACAGGCTTTCCAACAGTATATAATATTCATTGCCAAGAAGCATTGTTACAACATAGAAATAATCTACCAAACACAAATGTCCTTACTTTTTGTGTTAAGTTTAGTAAAACAGTTATTTTTGCAACAGAATACATAAAATAAGTCTTGTTGAATCCTTTTTAAACCTTTCATGTAATATATGTTTCTCTTTTTGGCACAAAATGATGGATAGTAGATAGACCGTTAAGATAAATACTGGAATCAATTAGCAGTACCGGTATCAGTATTGAGAAAATCCTACAGATACCCATCCCTGACTTTTCATTTCAAAACCACTTGAAGCAGATGAATGATTCTTTTGCCACAGTGACTCAGACACCACCTTCGTTATGTTATTTTCGGCCCTGGGTCTAAGCAATCACTGACGACTGGCAAACAATCATCACTTGGTAACATACAGTATGTCCCAGGGAAAGGAAACTTGCTCCACCTCCCAGAGAGGATAGTAAGCAGATCGGCTCCAAGGCCTCCAGTCTGTAACCCTCCAATGACTGTGAATTACTTCTGGTCGATTGCCCTCAGTGTTCTTATATGTCAAAATGACAAATTACCATCAGATTGTTCCATCATTGTTAACAAATCCAGTCTATGATTTGTGACCTGGTTTTATACTCATAAATCAGGGGGCTTTTTTTGCCTCCTCTATCCTATCTCAGAGATAGAGTAGAGGGTGTCCAAAACGTTGTCCCTTAACCCCAAAAGACCCGGCAATGTACGAGACCCTAACATAACGCATCTAATACTTGATGCTAATTGAAACAGCATGCTAATCCTAAACACTTGCTGTCACAGATACTGTTGACAAAGGCCTTTGGTCACAGCTGGGTATATTTGGATCCTCTCGGGTATAACACATAAACAGATTAAAGGACCCCATGGTAGTAAGACTTCTTAGAAAAATATCGCAAAGAAAGTCAAACAAAACACCAAATCTTCCTGGTCAAATCCCTGACAGAATGTATTTACAGTATTCTTTTAATTGGGCAAACTGATCCTTAATATCTGTCACGATCTTAGTTTTATGCCACGGTTTTAGTTTGGTCTGTCTTGGTTTTATTTTGCAATTCTGTTCTCCCTGTGTCTTGTCTTCCTCCCTGTCGTTAGTTTCCCTGGTGTGTCTGATTGTGTTCACCTGTTGCACTCGTGTTTCTCCTTCCCTGCCCGGCTGTTTCTCGTCTCGTGATTACCCCTCCCTGTATTTAGTCTTGTCTCTTCCTGTGTTCGGAGTTGGTTCATTCTGTCAGGGTT